CCGCCCCAGAGCGCTGCTTTACCGCGTTATATCCGAATTTGTGTTATATCAGGTCGCGTTATATTGGGGTAAAGGTGTATTTCAAAATGATAAACGGGATGATCTAGGTAATTACAGGCCTGTCAGTCTGACATCAATTCTGGGCAACATAATAGAATAGCTGATCTGGGACTCAATTAATATACAAGTAAATGAGGGTGATATAATTAATGCCAATCAGCACGGGTTTATGGAAAATAGCTCCCATCAAACTAATGACATCTTTTGATGAGATGACAAGTTTGGTTGATAAAAGTAATAGTGTTGATGTAGAATCATAGAATATCAGGGTTGGAAGGGACCTCAGGAGGTCATATAGTCCACCCCCCTGCTCAAAGCAGGACCAATCCCCAACTAAATCATCCCAGCCAGGGCTTTGTCAAGCCTGACCTTAAAAACCTCTAAGGAAGGAGATTCCACCACCTCCCTAGGTAACCCATTCCAGTGCTTCACCACCCTCCTAGTGAAAACGTTTTCCCTAATATCCAACCTAAACTTCCCCCACTGCAACTTGAGACCATTACTCCTTGTTCTGTCATCTGGTACCACTGAGAACAGTCCAGATCCATCCTCTTTGGAACCCCCTTTCAGGTAGTTGAAAGCAGCTATCAAATCCCCCCTCTTCTCTTCTTCAGACTGAACAATACCAGTTCCCTCTGCCTCTCCTCATAAGTCATGTGCTCCAGACCCCTAATCATTTTTGTTGCCCTCCACTGGACTCTTTCCAATTTTTCCACCTCCTTCTTGTAGTGTGGGGCCCAAAACTGGACACAGTACTCCAGATGACACCTCAACAATGCCAAATAGAGGGGAACGATCACGTCCCTCGATCTGCTGGAAATGCCCTTACTTATACAGCCCAAAATGCCGTTAGCCTTCTTGGCAACAAGGGCACACTGTTGACTCATATCCAGCTTCTCATCCACTGTAACCCCTAGGTCCTTTTCTGCAGAACTGCTGCCTAGCCACTCGGTCCCTAGTCTGTAGCAGTGCATGGGATTCTTCCATCCTAAGTGCAGGACTCTGCACTTGTCCTTGTTAAACCTCATCAGATTTCTTTTGGCCCAATCCTCTAATTTGTCTAGGTCCCTCTGTATCCTATCCCTAACCTCCAGCATATCTACCACTCCTCCCAGTTTAGTGTCATCTGCAAACTTGCTGAGGGTGCAGTCTACACCATCCTCCAGATCATTAATGAAGATATTGAACAAAACTGGCCCCAGGACCAACCCTTGGGGCGCTCCGCTTGATGTAATATCCTTAGGCTCCTGTAAGGTGTTTGACTTGGAACTGCAAAGCATTATGATTAAAAAATTAGAATATACAAAATTAACATGGCACACATTAAATGGATTAAAAACTGGCTAACTGATAGGGCTCAAAATGTAAATGTAAACGGGAAATCACCATCAAGCAGGTGTGTTTCCAGTGGGGTCCCGCTGGTTCTTGGCCCAACACTATTTAACAGTTTTGTCAGTGACATGGAAGAAAACAAAATAATCCCTGATGAATTTTGCAGACAACACAAAGATAGAGGGGACGGTAAACAATGAAGAGGACAGGTCACTGATATGCAGTGATTTGGATTACTTGGTAAGCTGAACGCAGCAAACAATATGCAATTTAACTTGCCCAAATGTAAAGTCATACATCTAGGACCCCAGAATGTAGGCCATACTTTACAGGACAGGAGACTCTGAGAAGCAGTGACTCAGAAAAAGATGTGGGGGTCATAGAATCATAGAATCATAGAATATCAGGGTTGGAAGGACAATCAGCTGAAGATGAGCTAGAAGTGGGCTGTAGTCCACAAAAGCTTATGCTCTAATAAATTTGTTAGTCTCTAAGGTGCCACAAGTACTCCTGTTCTTTGGCCACAGCGCACTGGGAAAAAAGGGCTAATGTGATCCTGGGATGTACAAACAGGGGAATCTCGAGTATGAGTAGAGAGGTTATTTTACCTCTGCATTTGGCAGTGGTGGAATACTGTGTCCAGTTCTGACATCTACCACTCAAGAAGGATGTTGATAATTTGGAGAGGGTTCAGAGAAGAGCCATGAAAATGATTAAAGGTTTGGAAAACCTGCCTTCATTCAAGGAGTTCAATCTATCGATCATAGTTTTTAGGTACTTCTATGGGGAAGAAAAGTTTGCTAGTGAGTTCTCCAATCTAGCAGACAAAGACAGAACAAGATCAAATGACTGGAGGTGGAAGCTAGACAAATTCAGTCTAGACATAAAGTGCAAATGTTTAATAGTGAGGGTAATTAACCTTTGGAACAATTTACCAGGGGTCATGGTGGATTCTCAAGCACTCACAATTGTTACATCTGGGATGTTTTTCTAAAAGCTCTGCTCTAGTTCAAACAGGAATTAATTCAGGGCAGGTCTCTGGCCTGTGTTATACAGGTCAGATCCCAGGGATCCCTTCTGGCCTTCTAATCTAGGAATGTCAGGTTCCTTGCCTATGGTGCAGCGTGAGCAATGGAGTCAGAATGGGAGTGTGAGGCATGCACACGACAATTCCCATGAGGCACCATGGCGCCATGTGTAACAGAGGTAGTTCTGTTTCTCAGTGATGTGGGAATTTTCCATAGAAAGCAAACAGTCTTCGGGAGCATTCTGCTGAAAACCCGATTTTTCATCGAAAAACAATTTCAGCAGAAAATTTCCCACTAGCCCTAGCTCTTGGCTGCAGGAGCACTGGCTGTGGGGAGCTTCCAGCTGCTCCAGTCCTGACCTTTCCCCCCAGGGGGTGCTGTAGGAAACGAATTAGGGGGTGCTGGCCAGAGGTGGGGCATCCCCAGTGTCTCCAGCAAGCGGGGCTGCAGGAAGTGGTGTAAGAGTGCAGAATCTGCATTCACTTCCTCCATGTCTGGCTCGTCCAGAGGGCGCCCCAGGAACGCACCTACAGGCTGCGCTAACGTCTACAGTCCCAGCCTCAGCTTTCCGCCAGCATCTGGTCTTGCATCAGCCAGCAGCCAAATGATGCAAGGTCACTTGTTTCCTCCCAAGGAGGAAAGTGGGAAGTGGATACTGGCAATGGAGCTCCAGGAGGCCCAGGCCAACCAGCCTTCGCAAAGGTCTACCTTGAGCCCACATGAAGCTGCAGGCACAAGAGCTGTGGTGATGCCCAGGCCACTCCACTAGGACAGGACTCCCAGCCACTCCTGGTTTGCGAGATACGGTGCAGCCAAAGTGACTGGCCCTCTACATAGCTCCTTACCGACCTCTGCTGAGCTCAGCAGGTTGTGCTGGCTGGGCACCTTCCACATTCACAGCTAGGGCACTTCCCTCAGCTGAAGCCCAAAGCTGCAGGTTGGTTTGGGGACAGGTTGGGCCCATCAAAGGCAAGGGGCCATGCTGGAGCCTTGGGTGGGGCTGCCCCACGGCCAAAAAAAGTACAGAGGGGCCTGAGCTGTATCTCTCATTTGTGTTCCTCCCTTGGCTCCCTGCCCCTCTCCTCAGTGCTGCTCAGCATCTCGCTCCAGCCCGGTTTGCAGTGCTGTGAGCAGGCGTCTCTGCTCTCCCTGACAAGTCTCTAGAACTGGGCTTCCTTTAGCCCAAGTTTCATGGTTTGACTCTGTCCCGATTCCCCACTGCAAACTCTTTCCTGCATTTTCTCACCCCCCCACCCACTCTCTTAGCCTCCTCCGCAGCCTCTCTCCTCCCAGCCCCACTCCAGCAGGGGAGGGAGAGGCCCCCAGATGCTCACACTCCTGCCCCCCACCCAGATGGGGCACCCCATGACTCCTACCCCCTAGAAGCCCTTGCACCCCTGCTCTCAGATTGGGCTGTTCCCCTTTGCAGAGCTGGTGGCGCAAGCATCTTGGGGCAGGGTCCACCATTTACTATTGCCCAGTCTGGCCTCACCGTCCCTCCCTCTGGGGTAGAGTTGGGGGCTGAGCCGCTGGAGCGCGATGGAGAAGCCCAGCACCTAGTGGATGCGCCCCCTCCCCTTCCTTCTCCCTCCCTTGCACAGGTGGCCCATGACCCGCCTGCAAGCCCAACCCCCAGATGAGGAGGCTGGTTCCATGAGCAGCACTGGGAGGACGGCATTGCCCAGGGGACGCAGGAACAGCCCCTTGCGGGGTCAGCTACCATACGCATTAAGTCACTGCCCTCCCCTGGCAGCAAATCACTGCCCGGCCCCATCAGGACCTGATACCCTGGGGGCCACCATCAGGACCCCACTTCCTTTCCTCTCAGCTGCAAGGGGCAGCTGTCACAGGGCTGCACCTCTGTCCAGACCCTGAGCCATGCATGGTGACCGGGAGTTCCCTGAGGGTCCTGCTGGGGGGATCCAGCCCCCATACAGCCAGACGTAGGCTGTTTCAATGGCCCAGGGGTGCAGGGGCAGACAGGGGAGTTACAGGGGCAATGAGGGGACCCCTCCGAAAGCTCCCTCCCATCCCCCCCAGGCTCCTTCCCCCATCCCGCCCCCAGCCCTGGCAGCACAGCAGAAAGCTGCTCGCCCCCTAGAGATTTCCTCTTTCTTGCGGGGAGAGTTTTCCTTCCTCTGTCTGCAGCCAAACCCCCTTGTGGTTTCACATTCCTGTAAAGAGAGCTACATTTGGAGAAATTCATTTCCCCAGGACCTGGCCTCCTGCCCTCCTGCCCCAGCGCAGCTCGGCTCCCCAGGACAGGCTGTATACTCTGTCCTTGTTCTGTTTGCAACTCCCCCCAGCTTAGTATCATTGGGTTGTTTCATCACAGTGCCACTGCTTCCCCTTCTTCAGCTCACTGGTGTGAAATCCCAGGGGCCCCGCAGATCCCCGTTCAGCTCTACCCACTGCCATTTGTCAGCCCCCTCTGTTGCCAGGCCAGGGGACAGCACTCAGCTCCAGCCCACTGTGGCTAAGCTCTCTGAGGCAGTGGGGAGATGGACCATGCATCCCCATCCCCGCTGCACAAATCCAGCTTCCGCAAACAGCTGGTCCTCTGCCAGGGCTGGCTCCTACCTGAGATTTCCATAAAATCATCAAGATTTGGCTGCAGTGGGGTCAGGCCTGGCTGGATCATGTCGGCGTTCCCAGTGTAGGCTGCAAAAGGGCAGAACCAGCCCATCAGTTCCCCTTTCCCTGGTCCCTGATTCCTGCTCCCCATAGTCCTTCACTTGTGCCCTACATTCCCTGGCTCACTGTTGCCAGCTTGTTAGCCCTCAAGTAGCCTCCTGCCCTGCCTCTCTGCCTCTGCCCCATTATTGGGCTCTCCTGGGAGACCATTCGCCTCATGGCCTTGCAGAGAATGTGCCACTAGCCAGTAGAAGGGGGGCAGCTGAGAACTCATCTGCTCCAGCGCTAATACTGGGCAGCCCCCCTCCCCCCAGAATCCTCTGCTGTTCCCCCCATGGCCTGAAGCCTCCATCATCTGCACAAGGGGTGGGAGGCATTTCCCCGCCCTGGGGGCTGGATCCCCTCTTCCTGCTGGTTGGGGGAGCCAGAAGCCCAGGAGGGGGTGCTGCATTCTGGTGGGAGATTCTCCTTCCCTCAGGCAGGAGGGGAGGGCTGAGATGTCAGGGCTCCTGGAGCAGGAGGGAGAGAGCCTGTCCTGCACAGGCCAGGGAGGGCTCAGCCAGGTAGAAGGATGCGGCAGGGGAGAACTGCCCTGGAAGGGGAGATATTAATAATAAACTCCAGCCCCTATCCAGCACCTTTCAGCCACGGGTCTCAGCACATCTGAAAAGGAGGCCAGTCTCATTATACCCATTTTATAGATGGGAAAACCGAGGCATGAGAAGGGATGTGACTTGTCCAAGGTCACCCAGCGGTAGAGGCGAGAATAGCACCCAGGGATCCTGAGTCCCAGCCCAGTGTGCCAGCCTCTAGGCCACACTGCCTCCCTACAGGGCCAGTAGTGACTTTGCTCCCTCCACTGTAAAGCACTAGCAGCTTGAAGCCCTCCCTGGGACTCTGCCCCACTGGGGCTCTTACAACAGCTGCTAGGGAACACTCCTGTCTCAGCCCCAGCTCTCCCACTGACCTCCTGAGACACGCCCATGGCCCTGGCCACTGGGGGAGAGGGGGGCTACCAAAGAGGCTATCAATCAACATGTTAACCTGTTCCCACTCCAGGCTTTACACTGCGCCCACTTTCAGCAGGGCACGGCATTCTCCGCCTGTCATTCTAGCTTGCTGTGCAGTGGTACACAATGGCCACATTTTACCCCAGAGGGGGCTGCATGTCCGTGGTGGCTGAGTGGAGCCCTGAGGTCCCCTGGCAGGAAGGTGCTCTGGAAGTGTATGTTGTTATTATTAGCGCTGGACCATTGCTCCTGGGACTAGCACCCTGTATCGTTTACTCCGCTGCACGCATGGGAAGTGCTGCCGCTGCCCCTGCCCCGCCTGAATGGCTCGTGGGCTGCCGGGTGGGGGCAGGGCGCTGGAGGTAAGGGTGCGGGCACTGCCTGTGGCACCTCGTTAACCTGACCTCGCTGCTTTGGGAGGAGCTGCCCTGGGGCGATCGCTCCAGAGACCGGGCCTGGCTAGTGCAGGGCAGGACCAGAGTGCCTCGTTTGGAGGGGTGGGTGCTAAGAAAACATGAAGAAGCTAATGCAACTAGGGCAAGACCCCCCCCATAACCCCTCAGCCACACACACCCCCGGTGAGGTTCATGGGTGAGAACATGGTCCTAGGAACGTACCGTCTTCTGGGAGCGTCTGGTGGGAGCAGGGGGGCTGCGTCATGGTGAAGAGTGTGTCTGAGATGTCCGAGAGGAAGCTGTCCAAGTCAAAGAGCTGCCGCCCTCCGGCCTCCTCATTCTCATCCCCCAGCAGCATGGGCACAACGCTGGAGAACAGCTGGTTGCACCATTTCTCCGATGGCTTCCACACACCCTCATCCTACACAAGACAGTTCATCAAAGGAGTCCCCCCAGATACCTCTCCCTGGGCACCTCTCCCCAGGCACCCGCCCAGCCCCTCTCCCCTGGCAGCCCCCAGCCTCCCCCGGCCCCTCTCCCCGGGCACCCGCCCAGACTCTCTTCCCTGGCAGCCCCCTGGCCCCTCTCCCCCTGGCACGCCCCCACGCCTCCTCCCGGCCCCTTCCTCCCCGGGCACCCGCCCAGCCCCTCTCCCCTGGCAGCCCCCGGCCTCCCCTGGCCCCTCTCCCCTAGCAGCTTCTGGCCTCCCCTGGTCCCTCTCCACTGGGCAGCCCCCTCTCCTGCTCTGACAGAGCACCTTCTCTATAGTGCTGGGTGGCTGGTGCTGGTTCCAGGTCCTCTGTCCTCACAGCCATTGCAGTCCTCAGGGAGCCTTTAATCGGGGGTTGGGGGGCTGTTAACCTCCCTGCCCTGGCCACACACAAACTCTGGCAAGGACCTTCTGCCATTCTCCATCCCATCCCCCTGCAGTTTGATCTGACACCTGTCCTTTGCTGCCTGCCCGAGAGTGCCGTGGGGTGTAGCTACGCAGGGGAACAGTTGCCCTCGCCTAGCCCAGAAATGGCTGCATGTCGCGATGGGAAATGACTCTTGTACTAGAGCCTTCCCCAGCAGGTGGGGCTGCCACAGCTCCTGTACCCCAGACTCTCTGAAGAAAGTTTTCCTGGTTCATTCAAGATCACATCCCCTGTCTCAACCCAGAGAGTCTGGGATAGTGAGAGCAAAATGCATCCAGCTGGAATTTTGGGGCATTGGGAGAATCCCACCATTTCCCCTCCCTTGCCTTAGTGGAGCCATCCAATGTGGGGGTCTGGCCAGCCACTGCCCTCCTGGAGGCAGCTGGGCTGCAGGGTGGGACGGGACAATCTGGACCTGCAGAGCTGGTTGCAGCGCCCTCCGGACCCAGAGGAATCAGTGCTGGAGTGAGGGTCACTCGACATTGGCCTGACTCCAGACACAGAAGGGCCCAAACTCAAACCACAGGGCCAAGTCCAGGAGATCTTGCAGCTCAGGCCCAGCTCTCATCCAACCATGGCAGCAAATGGAACAATATCACCCCTCTCCCCGCCCCCCAGCCTACAAACATACAGTCTGTCCGGCCTCTCCCGACCACATTTACAGACAAGGAGCAGCCCCCTCTGACCCACAGCCAGCCTGTCTGGGGAACATAATTAGCCCATGTGTAGGGCTGTACGTCTGCATTTACCAACACAAGTCTCCTTTCATCCTCACAGCCCCACTTACAGATGGGGACGTGGCAGCCCAGGGAGGACACTTGTTGAATGCCACTGTGTCTCCCAGTCACACACTCAGGCCTCAAGCTCTCTCTGAGCCTGGCCTGAATCCCCTCTTTTGGGGGACACGATGGAGGTCTGCCATAGTTCTACCATTTCTCGCTCCGGCTCCCAGACCTGGCAGGTTTGTACAGCCAGCTGAGGGACGTCTCTTCCCTGCTTGTGGTGGCAAGGACGCCATGCTTGGAGACGCAGGGTGGGGCTGGGGGCAGGATGGCTGGAGTCTGGAACTGGACTCTTCTCTCCATTTCAGGTCCCATTTCTTGGAGCTGAATTCAGCCCAGGCGGTGAAGCAGTGCTCCAGCTGGGTCCCGGAGGGCATGCTGGCCCCTGGGCGCTGGCCAGGCTTCAAACCATTCCCAAAGGCAGCTCTGAAGCTGCAGAAATGCTTCCCCTGCCAGCACCCCTGTGCTGTGTAGAGGGCTTAGCCGATTAAGCCAGCTCAGTGGTTTTAACCAAATGAATATTTACCTGCCCAGGACTTTATTTAACCCTTCATTGCCAGGACGTTGCTCCTGTTAATTTCATACATTCCAACTTGGAAGATGAGGCTCCAGCAGCTCCAGCCCCACGAACTCCAAAGAGTTGGGTCCCAAAAAATCATGAGACTGGCTTAAAAGCCAGGAGTCCTTTAGAAAAGACCACTGCATTCAGGGCATGTGGTACCTGCCTTCTGGGATCTGAGCCTTTTGGAGGCACTTTCCGGCATTTTCACACATCCATGAGGGCTAGAAACTTACTTTTTAAAAGACACCAAAACTGAGATACTAGTGTAATCACCAGATTCCAGCAGCTGGGGCTTTAAGAAAACACCAAGTATCACAAGACAAGTGATCAAACCACGGGAGTTGGCAATGCTGGGGATCCGGAGCGAGTGCCACTCCTCCCACCACTTCCTCCTGCAGAAAGCCGCCCCTCACCCTTTAGGGCACTCACCTGCTTCGGGCTGGAAATCTCACCCTCCCGGCTGGACTTTCGAAGCTGCACGAAAAACATGGCTTGTCAGCCCCTCCTCCTGATGGGGGAGCTAGGCTGGGGTGAGGTTGGCAGTGCACCCCAAGCAACCAACAAGGGAGGTGAACAAGGGCACCATGGCTCTTCCCTTTGGGCAGGGCTGATGAGACTGCAGTGGTCTCCAGCCCAGGGGTGGGGTGACCTGGGAGAGGGCAGTGCTGTAGGGTGGCATCTGGACCCTGGCACCACAAAGTAGACACTCTGGCCACCCTCAGCATGGATAACCTCCCATTATTGGCCAGGACCATGACCCCACGCACTGGCCAAGTGACAGTGGCGTTTTTATTTGTATTTATTTTATAAAGGCTCTGATCCTCCCCCTGCCAAACCCCAGCAGGATCACGAGAAGACTGCCTGGGGAATAGAGGGGATATCACAGACGCCTGGCAGCGCCCTCCCCTTGTCTTGCTGGAACGCTGGCTCCAGTAGGTAAGCAGCAGTGAATGAGAGATCCTGCCCCCGGAAGAGCAGCTGCTCTTCCTGGCTTACGCAGCCAGCCACTGCAGCACTTCAAAATGGGAGACTCTGGAGAGAGGTCACGTGCCAGGAACCTAAGACAATCACTAGGTGCCATCACCACCCTGCCTGGTGCCAGCAGATTTCTGCAGAACCCTTTGGTTGCTGATTTTTCCTCCTTCATTCTGTCCCAGGTCACCTGCTCCTGGGGTGGCTGATGGGGGCAATGGGGCCCATCAGTGCCCAGCGAAGCGCAGCCCCGGGGATCCCACTGCAGGTAGCCTGGCAAAGTGCAGCCCTGGGGATCCCGCTGCGGGCAAGCCAGGCCAGGCCAGGCCATGTGAGGTCTGGGGAGTGAGTTGTGCCAGGCTGCTGAGACCTGAGGCCTGCCCTCTATCAGAGACAAGGGGGCATCTGCAATCCACCCTACACAGCGACAGGTGCAGCCCTCAGCCTCCCAACAAGCTGCCACCACTGTCTGTCAGGGGCCAGCTCAGGATCTGTGCATGTCAAGCATGCCCAGTGCTATAGTGTCTGGGCCTCGCCACCCACGAGTGCCCCGCTCTGGCCTCACAGCCCCAAAGCAATGAGCACCGTGGGGAAGGGAGATGCTGACCCGCTTCTTGTAGTAAATCCTCCACTTGTGATACTCCTTCATCACCACCTCGATACGTCGCTTCCAGTAGTTCCCCTCCAACACAACAGCCTAGCAAGGACACAGCCAGCACATAGGTCACGGGCACCCTCAGCAAGCACCTGGGTGTTAGCTCCCACCACAGCCAGTGCTCCTCCCCCCTCCCCACAGCACCCCCTGCTGGGAGAGGCTGGGCTGGTGTAGCTGGGAGCTCCCCCCACAACCAGCGCTCCTCCCCCACCTCCCCACAGCACCCCCTGCTGGGGAAAGCTGGGCTGGCATAGCTGGGAGCTCTCCCCACAACCAGTGCTCCTCCCCCCTCCCCACAGCACCCCCTGCTGGGAGAGGCTGGGCTCGTGCAGCTTGGCACTACCCC